TAAACCCTAAACCCTAGACCCTAACCCTAAACCCTAGACCCTAAACCCTAAACCCTAAACCCTAAACCCTAAACCCTAAACCCTAAACCCTAAACCCTAAACCCTAAACCCTAAACCCTAAACCCTCCTCGCCCGGTCTACTCCTAGAGGCCCAACCCCACAGACTCCCTGAAATGCCAAAAATTCAGAGGCTCCCTGGAGTGCTTCACCCCAGAGACTCCCTGAAGGTGGGTTTAGGGTTTAGGGTTTAGGGTTTAGGGTTTAGGGTTTAGGGTTTAGGGTTTAGGGTTTAGGGTTTAGGGTTTAGGGTTTAGGGTTTAGGGTTTAGGGTTTAGGGTTTAGGGTTTTCGAAGTAAAGCAATTAGTATTGCTCTTATTCTCCCCGCGGAAATATCCCCGTAGCAGGAATATGGCCAAGTCCTTAGGGAATATACCTTGCTTGGAGATCTTAGAGCGTGGTGGGCTCGAACTTGCTAGGGTACAGGTAGTATCGACAGTCTGGAATCTAGAATACCCCAAACCCTGCCTCCCCTCCCCTTTCCCCACTTACATGGCGCTGCCTAAGCCCAATAAACCTCGCAAAGCCCAACCTGAGGCTCGAACCCTAAACCCCTGAAGCCCTGAACCCCTAAACCCCTAACCCCTAACCCCTAACCCTAAACCCTAAACCCGAAACCCTAAACCCTAAACCCTACACACCCCAAACCCAAAACCCACTTTGAGCATTTAACGCCCGCGGGCAACTCCCGCAAAGCCCAAGTCGGACCATGCCCCGAGTTCGGGGGGTTTGAGGCTTTAGGGGTTTAGGGAGTACCCTAAACCCTAAACCCTAAACCCTAAACCCTAAACCCTAAACCCTAAACCCTAAACCCTAAACCCTAAGCCCTAAACCCTAAACCTCTAAAAACCCCACAAGCCCTAAGCCCTAAACCCCCTAACAACCCCTATAAACCCGGAGCCCTAGGTCGATACCCTCCTGCCCTCGCCCGTGCTGGACTTGGGCGCTTCGGGTGCGACGGCCGAGAACTCGAGGCAGCCTGGGTCTGGTTTTGGGGTTGAGGGTTGAGGGTTGAGGGTTTAGGGTTTAGGGTTTAGGGTTTCGGGTTTAGGGTTTAGGTTTTCGAGCTTTCGGGGTTTTGGGTTCTTGTTTTTAAGGGTTTTTGGGTTTGTGTCTTGGCTTTTTGAGTGTTTTTTCAGGCTTTCTGAGGGTTTTCAGCTTTTGAAGGGTTGCTTTGGGTTTCTGGGAATTGGGTTTGGGGTGCAGGGGTGCAGGGGTGCAGGGGTTGACGGATTAGGGGCACAGGGCCTGGCTGGACCTCCTGTAGGAGGCCTTCGTAGTCAGAAGTCCCTAAGGGAGGGGGGTTCATGGTGGGGTTACGTAGGGTTTAGGGCCAGTTTAGGGTTTAGGGTTTAGGGTTTAGGGTTTAGGGTTTAGGGTTTAGGGTTTAGGGTTTAGGGTTTAGGGTTTAGGGTTTAGGGTTTAGGGTTTAGGGTAGGTTCCTAGGGAACCTTAGGGAAGCTTAAGGAGCCTCAGGTCTTACTGGAGGAGTAAGAGGGAACCTTGGAGTACATACAGGGTTTAGGGTTTAGGGTTTAGGGTTTAGGGTTTAGGGTTTAGGGTTTAGGGTTTAGGGTTTAGGGTGGTTCCTTGTTATAAGGTGCTGTACAATGCAGGGACCCAAAACGGGAACCTTGTTTAGAGAACCACCATGTTTACCACACCTTTCCACAATCGTCCCTAAACCCTACACCCTAGATCGCATAGCCTAAACCACAAAACCCGGCTTGTCCAGTGTTGAAGCTCCAAACTCAGTAACCCTTCGGAGGAGTGATTGTTCAATCCCAGACCCTGAGCCCTCCCCAACCCCTAAACCCTAGAAGCCCTAAACCCCAAGCCCTTAGCCCTAAACCCTAAACCCTAAACCCTAGAAGCCCTAGGCCCTATAGGCCGTTAGCCACAAACCTGAAGCTCTAATTCCGAAACCATGAAGAGACAGGTTCAACTTCCGCCCTGGGGAGGACCAGGCCCGTCTGATGGACTATGAGGTTTCGGGCTTAGGGTTTAGGGTTCAGGGATTAAGGGTAAGGGTTCAGGGGTCTAGGACAGCAGGAAGCAGCTGCTCCTAACTCCACCACCCCTGCCACGGATGCACAGGGTGCCTTTTTGGGAGGCTTTCTTTCCGAGTCCATCCAGACAAAGCGAGGGTTTAGGGCTTAAAGTTTCGGGCAATCACAAGGCCGATGCGGCCTGGCAATACCTGCTAGTGTCGCAGGCCCGCGAGATCTTGGCCCCAACCAGTCATGGCGGCCATGCACGATGGATGCCCAACCTGCGTACCCTAGACCCTAAGGTTTTTCAGCTAAGTTCACAAATCCTCAATCCTGAGCCAACCCTTGATCAATAAATCTCTGAGCTCTAGAACCCTCAAACCCTGAACATTTTGAAGCGCTTGAACCCTACAACCCCTCCCCCCTCCCCTCCCCCCTCCCCTCCCCTCCC